AGAGGAGAGAAGGAAGAAGGGGGGGAGTGGGTGAGGTGGGTAGTGTGGAACGGGGGGCGAGGGGTATATGTAGAGAGGGAGAGGTGCGGGGTGGGGGAGGGAGGGGGGGAATAATAATGGAGGTGGAGGAGAAAAGGGGTGGTGGTGGGATTGATGAAAGAGATAAGGGAGGTAGGAGACGAAGAAGCTGTGATGGTCTCTCTCTCTCTCGCCCTCGGCTTTCTCTCTCTAGCTATGTGGCTTTCGCTCTCATGTGCGTATTGCCCCCATTGTTTATAACAGAAAAAAAAATGCTTTCTTTCTCGCCTCCGCTTTCGAATTGTTTTTTGCGTTGCTGCGGTCTCGTGGTCAAAAGGAGGGCGAGCCAACGCGCACAAGTCGTAGCTTCCCTCTCATTTCGTTTCTCATAAATTTTCTTTGGGTTTTTGTGGAGGAAAAGGCAGTGGAGCTGCGGGCACAACGGATTGTTGCCACGGATTTGAGTACACATGTTTCTTCTGTGTGCTTGTGTTCTTTATTTTGGGTGTACTATATATCAATGAGAGGATGGTTATCTTGTGAGGGAGAGAGAGGGGAAGTATTTTCTGGCTTAATTACCCGGTGGTGGATTCAGGATAAAGGCGTATGTGATATTGTGGTTGGAATCCGTCGACCTACGACTATGGTGGTGGTCGATTCGAAGAGAAAATGGTGAACCCGATTCCATCCCATTGAGGTTGTGGTTGCGTGTTGTCGCATACATGTTGCTATGAGGTGGAGATGGTGCGACCGCTGGTCGCTTCATCTTCTCCCGGACGAATCACTAGCAACATGGAGAGAATGCGATATTAGATTCGTGGTAAGATCGATACGGATTGAGAGAGAGAGAGAGAGAGAGAGAGAGAGAGAGAGATTGTATAAGAATAGTGGTCACCATAGTATTTTCTCGCTTAATTATCTCATGGTGGATTGGGGTTAAATGCATATGTGATACTGTGGTTGGACGATCCGACATCCAACTGTGGTGGGGTCAATTCATAGAGAAAATAGTGAACCGGATTTCATCCGTCTAAGGTTGGGGTTGTGTGTTGTCGGACCTCTGTGACGACGAATCACTAATAACAACACCTTGTAGAAAAGATGATATTAGATTCAAGGGAAGATCGATATCGACCAAGGAAGAGACAAGCGAGTACAACAAATCGTTGCCATGTATTTGGGCAGACATGCTTCTTCCTTGTGTAGGCAATGCTTTAGCACGTGGTTATCCAGAAGGAGAGGGGGGTGTTTTTCCTCCCTCAATCACTCAGTGGTGGATTCAGGAAAAAGGCGTATGTGATATTGTGGTTGGAATTGCTTGATCTAAGACTATGGTGGTGGTCGATTCAATGAAAAAAATAGTGAAAACTGGTTCTATCCGATTGAGGTCGTGGTTGCGTGTTGCCGTATAGAAGTTGCCATGGCGGTGGAGATTATGCGATTGATCATTGCTTGGTCTTCGCACGAACGAATCACCAGGAACAACATGGAGGGAATGTGATATCAGATCCATGGTAAGTTCTATACCGATAGAGAGATAGGGGTGTGTTTTGTACAGGAAAAGTGGTTATTGTAGGCCCCCCCCCCCTCGCTTAATTATATGGTGGATCGCGGATAAATGCGTACGTGACATCGTGGTTGAAGTTGATCAACATCCAACCATGGTGGAAGTCAATTCAGAGAGAAAATAGTGAACTTGATTCCAAACGTCTATGGTTGTGCATGGTTGTGTGTTGTCGAACCTCGTTGAAGATGAATCACTAACAACGCCTTTGTAGAAAATATGATATTAGATTCAAGGAAAGATCGATAGTGATCAAGGAATAGAGAAATGAGTACCCATTATGCATGTTCATTTTACTTTAAGATATTGGTACGAAGTGGGACGGCTATGTTGGATAGGTTAGTTTCATGCAATATATTGTGGTCTTAATGGTATGAAGATATTTAGGTGGACAAGTGGACAAGCTCAATTAAAAACGAGTCCATTTGGAGATATAAATTTGCGTGTACCTGAATAAATTGAAAAGCACAACCTACCCTTGTTTTTCACATTCAATAGGTTTGATGCATTTCTTATGTATCTCATCCCCCACTCTCACAACACGTCTGCATGCAACACTCTTGCATGTGATCATGTGGCCTTTTGTGTCATATAACATTCATTATGCCATGACATTTGAGACACATGTTGTCGTTATGTTACATTCCAAAGCGGTCGCTAGGGCTATGTTTAACCTATGAAGTTAATTTTTAAACATTACAAACCCCACAACATAACCTAACTTAACTAGCCTCTGGTATGTTGTCTTGGGAGCCAACTTTACAACTTGTTGGTTGAAGGCAATTCAATACACACAATGTGAATTTAGACGGTGCAGGATATACAAACATCTTTGGTTGGGGATATAAGAATTTGTGAGGGGAATAGGCCGTGACCATTACTTTTGTAGCAAAACATGGATGGGTCAAAATTGAGCCAAAATTGTTTGGGAGAAAACATCTTGACTTATGCTATCATCCCTTAGCCGGTAATCATCGATTCCAAAAAAAAAATCATGTGAATAAACCATCCCATTCAACCCCCACAGGTAATTCACATCATAGACCAAAGGGATTGATACTAAAATTACACATCACATGTCTAATCTCACTATGATTCCCTCATGTAAGCTCACATTCATCTACCCAATAGTTGTTGCCAAAACGTGATGTTAGAGATTGTTACACCCTTATCCAGAGAAATTTGGAATCACCATCATCTCTAGTTCAATCTTGCAACTACGTCAAAAAATAGAGAAAAGAAATAATAGTCAACATACAACCTCCTGTTCTATCAAGTGGCTAGGGGGGATAATAAAAAGCGTAGAAGGAAAAGAAATTCATACCACAAACCAATTGATGATGATATACTCACATATTCTCTGTCCAGAATCCGACGCCCCATCAAAGATCGTTAACGTAGATGCTATGAACTCTCGCAATGTCACCTGTCAATCAGAAATCATACCATAATAGATATTTAGCAGTACACATCAAACATATGAGTTATCCCAATATATTCTGAACAACTCAGCCAGAAACGTGCCATTGTTTTCACTAAACCTCAGTCGACAACCACATCATCAACTCTTGCTCTCCCCGGCCGTGTGCACCGGCTCGTGTGGCCGTAGTACCACCAGATCACACACACGGCTGCAACTGGCAGATGCGCCCCACGGCCGGCAGGTGGAGGCTGCAGATTGGCTCTCTCTCACCCTGCCGTGTGGGCTCCACCCAGAACCGAAAGGCAACGAGGTTCACGCGTCCTGTGCTCCCGTGCGCTGCGCTGCGAGCCGCTGGGAGGCGACGTCGCTTCCTCCGTGGGCGCGCACAGCGGCTCAACTAACGCCGTTAGCAACGGTGACGTGTCCTCCAGGACTCATTCAAAGCGCCTCGCGCGGTGGGGGCCAGCGCGTCGGATGTCGACCGCCGGCGCGGAATCGCTCGCTCGCAGGCGGGCGGGGGCGTCACCCTCTCCGCTGCCGGAAAAGATCGGGCGGGGCCGCGCCACGTGGCGCGCGCGCGCTCGTGCCTTTGACTTCCGGTTCGGAGGCCGGAGGACGCAGCCGCGGCTCCGCCCCGCTGACAGGGCGGGCCAGAGGCTCCGGCGGATGTGCGTACGCATGGGGCCGGTGGGCCCGGGCGGTGGCTTTCCGAGTCAGTCTTCCACCGCGCCGTCGTCGCCCGCTTTCCGGTTCGGTTAGCTGAACGGGTTTGGCTCGCCAGCGCGACGACCAGGTCCACGCCCGCCTTCCTTTTTCAGCACGGAACACCGCTGCTCCACTGGCGTTAGATTATGCAGGCGTTCATGCTGCTGCGACTTGTTTACTGGCTTATCCGATGCTGATCTCCACTGGTCGGGCTTGAACAGCCATGGGATGCCCTGGCTAGCTGTTCGTTCCGAGCCAACTGGACTAAATAAAAGATATTATTATACGGAAATGTTAACGCCCACACGTGTGGGCGTTCATCATCCCGACCACACGCAAGCATCTCCGTTGGCAGCTTTGTGCACGAATCTTGGAATAAACCGGCTGGTTTTCTGCGCCACGTAAGACGAGGCGCGTGTGCGGTGTGCGAGTCAGGTCGCCCACACGTTGGTTCCCTCCCGCGGTCAGCGGTTGCCACTCGGAGACGTGCGGTGGAACCGCAATGCGCCCGCACGCCACGCTCCGACCGCGGTTGACGTCAAACACGTCGCACACCGCAGTCCCCTCTCCCTCACGGTTCCATTTACCCTGCCGCACGCAGTTACTGGCACAAGCCACTTGCATTTCAATCCACTGGAGGAGAAGGCGAGGGGAGAAGGCGAGGGGAGAAGGCGACGGCGGAGGCGGAAGAATCGACGGCGTTCGCGGCCGTTGGTGGTGCTCGCCGGAACGGAGCGGCTGCGCCGGAGCGCCTGCGGCTTGAAGGTAATGGTCGCTACAACTCTCGCAACCCCTTCCTGCATTTCCCCCCTTCCCTCCCTACTTGATTCCTCGATCGAGTTCGTAGAGATTCA